TAGGACGGATGGCGTTAGGACCCTAAATGACATGCAAAAGCTATTGGGAGACATTAATTGGATTAGGCCATATTTACATATACCAAATTCAGATCTCAAACCCCTGTTCGACCTTCTGAAGGGAGACCCAGATATAGCCTCCCACAGGAGGCTCACTCCTGAGGCAAGAGCTGCCTTACAGAGAGTGGAAAAAGCCTTAGGTGGGGCTACCTTACACAGAATTGAACCAGGGCGACCCTTTGATGTCTGTTTGCTACAGACTAGTCTACAGCCCACAGCGGTGATTTGGCAGAAAGGACCATTACTGTGGATACACCCTAAGGTCTCACCTGCAAAAGTCATAGAGCATTACCCGGAGGCAGTCGCTTCATTGGCCCTTGAAGCGCATGATAGAGCTGTCCAACATTTTGGCTCAGGACCACAAGCCATCCGAGTACCCTATACCGCCAGCCAGATCAAGACCCTGGCTGCCTGCATAGATACGTGGGCCATTCTGAGATGTGTTTTCCATGGGGATATAAACAATCAATACCCTAAAGACCCTATCTTGTCATTTGTCACTCAGCACCCTATAATTTTTCCAAAGGTTACTGCCTCTGAGCCATTAGTCCCAGCAACTACAATATACACAGATGGCTCCAAGACGGGGATAGGCGCCTATGTGATCCTAGGCAAGCCCCCGGTTACCATACAATTTGAACCTGATCAGCCTCAGGTGGTGGAACTACAGATCGTTAAAATGATTCTTGAACGGTTCTCAGAAGCCATTAATATTGTCTCCGATTCTAGGTATGTGGTCAATGCTATGCAAGTGCTTGAGACTGCCGGTTTAATTAGATCCACTTCCACAGTGGCTGGGCTGTTCCTGTCTATCCAGACATTGCTTCAGAACAGACACCATAAGGTCTTCACCACCCACATAAGAGCACATACATCCCTGCCGGGGCCCATGGCACAGGGGAATGCGGCTGCTGATACTGCCACTCGCCCGTTATGGATTTTTACCTTACTAACACCAATCGAGCGAGCCCGTGCCTTCCATGATGGGTTTCATGTCAATGCCAGGACACTAGCGGGCCATTTCCATGTTTCCAGAGCAGATGCACGAGATATCGTGCGACTATGTGACTCCTGTGCCACATACAAACCTGCCATACCGATGGGAGTAAACCCTCGAGGTTTGATCCCTGGTGATGTTTGGCAGATGGACATCACACATATACAGGAGTTTGGGACTCTTAAATATGTTCATGTTTCCACAGACACCTGTTCTCACGTCATATTCGCAACAGCAGAAACAGGTGAAAAAGTGTCTAATGTGATCAATCATTGCCTGGCGGCTTGGGCCGCATGGGGCAAACCAAAAATATTAAAAACTGATAATGGACCAGCCTATATAGGCAAAGCCTTCAATGAGTTCTGCAAAATGATGGAGGTTCAATTAAAACATGGTATCCCATACAATCCCCAAGGTCAAGGAATCATTGAGAGGGCTCATAGAAGCCTCAAAGAAATTTTACAAAAACAAAAAGGGGGAGTAGGCCAAGGCCTGGCCCCAAAGGCACAATTATCCATGGCACTATTCACACACAATTTTTTAAATTTAAATAATGATAATTGCTCCCCAGCCGTGGAGCACTGCAACCCTTCCCCCAACCATAAAGGGTGGGTGAAGTGGAAAGATGTCCTGACAGGACAATGGATGGGCCCGGATCCAGTGGTCAGCTGGAACCGAGGCGCGGTTTGTGTTTTCCCACAGGAATCGGGACGAGAACCACTGTGGGTACCGGAGAGACTGACACGGGCGACAAAGCCCTCGACTGAAGATCAGACCTGCCCTACCGGAGATCCATCACAGACCAACCAACAAGATGAATAGAAATAGCGGTAGCCCGAAATGGACAAGAAGATCCTCAGGCATATGCATGGCTCGCTCGCCTAGCCTACGACCGAGTCTAGGGACGGTGAGCTTCCCACACTCCTCCTCTAAAAAATTATGACATAGCTGGGTAGGAGAGTCAATGACGGGTAAGAGCGTACTCCCCCGGTGCGACTCAACCTAAGCCAGGCCCTACCCCATCCTGCACGTAAGCCGCTGGACTGTTAGATGCTGCCCAGGTCTAAATTTCTCTCCGAGGGGATTTCTTTACGGAGAGGAAATGAGTGCAAGCTTGTGTGCATCCAGGTTCCGTCCAGTTTGTGCCTGGCCCTAGAAAAAGGACGAGGGCCTCAGGGCCTTGGCAGACCATGGGACGGCCGACCAGGGTCTAAGCCAAGGACCTACGGTGGGCCTACACATAGGGCATAAGCCTCTGCACCCAGTCCAAGAAGGGCTACGATGCGCACATTCATAAAAAATAAAAAAGGGGGAGATGTTGGGAGCCGCAGCCCCGAGCCCGGTCGCCTTACTTGGCGGACGTGAGGCCTGTAGTAAAGAGTAAAGCCTGAGGTAGATTACCCCTCCCATCGAGCACGTTAGTTTCCTGTTTACCGCGTAAGCAACCCGCTCAACAATATAGTCTGCCTGGCAACTGATGATGTTAGCCAATCAGCTTGCCTTGCTTACTTTAACATGATTGGACACTGTATCCGTATATATACTGGTGCCACCCCTGGGGGGGAAGAAGAAGCCCGGAAGTAGAAGCCCAGAAGGAGCCGCGGGGAGCGGACCAAAGGAGGCTTCGGCTGGGAGCGATCCCAGGGCAGGCTGTACGGAGAAGGAAAATAAAAGAAAAGGTTGTCCACTGCCAGACTTTGTCGTGTGTCCTTCCTGCCGGCCGGGAGCGGACATTGACACATATGTGCCTTCATAATGTGTGCAGTTAAAAATATTTTTTGATTAACTTGTTCTGTACTTAGTAGGTCATTTCAACCTGAAGGCTCCTGTCTTTGACATTTTATTTGATAATTACTTTCTTCCTGTTCTTTGTGTCTGCAGTTTCTATTACCCAGGTAGGAATGATCATTCCCCTCTGCTTTTTCAAAAAAAAAAAATTTCAACCACTGTATTTTTCTTTCTCCAAGTAAACTTTGCTGTTTGCTCTTTTCTTTCTTTTTGAGATAGGGTTTCACTTTGTAGCTCAGGCTGGCCTTGAACTCACAGTGATCCTCCTGCCTCAGCCTCCTGTGTGCTGGGATTACAGGCGCGCACCACCACTCCTGGCCTAACTTTGCTCTTTTTAATGATGGCTTCTGCTGCTGTTGATTCTACATCTAACTTAGCAGGCATTATGTTCTTTAGTCTCTCTAAAGATAACGAGGCATTTTTATTTTCGAATCTTTTGCCTCTTTTTCCTCCCTGTGTATCGTTGAGTGTGATGCCTCTCTTTCTTCATGTTGGTTTCCTCCAAATACTTTGGGAGTGTTTTTGACTATTTTTGTCTGACAGAGCACAGTTTACATTTCTCTGGATAAAGTCCTTCTCACAGAAGCCCCCCTGGGGACCAAGGGGAGAGGCCACGTGGTGTGACAGGTGACTTCTCTTTGAAGGTAGGGTCTCTGGGGGTCCTGCTGTGCCTCTCAGGCCCCACAGTACCAAAGCAGTGTGGCTGTAAGGCGGTGTGGCTCCCAGTCTGTGAGCATCAGCAAACACTCCCCAAATGCAAGTTTCTGCAGCACCAGGGGACTCAGGCTGTGGCCCATGCCTCTCCTGTGCCTTCTACCTGCATTGGGAAAAGCCCTGTCCCTCTCTCTTTTTGTCCAGGGTCCCACCTTGTCCAGAGTGGGGCTTTCCTCAGGTCTTGCTGCTTTGTGAATTGAATCACATCTGCTTTCTTACATTTAGGAACTTCCCAATATTTCCGGCTCACCTAGAGTACTTGTGCTTGCTTGTTTCCATTCCTAGTACTAGGTAAATGTGGTTCAAGCCCAAGTGTTGATGGAAAGCAGCTAACAATGGCCCTTGTGTTCTGACAGTTTATGGTCTTAGGGAGGTGGCTGTGTCAGCTAGTCTGCTTAGCGATATAATATATTGTGAGCGATAGTGACATGGGTTTGGAACAGTTCAAAGGAGCCCAGCAAGGTGAAGGTGGGACTGTCTGACAGGATTGCCAGGCCCACTGGAAAAGAGCCTCAGGAAATAGAAGAAGGCTTGTTGCCTCTCCTAGTGCCACGGTGCACGAACTCTATGAACTAGGAGGGACATTAAAACCATCTGCTCCAGGACTAGGAAGAAGGAATAGTTTTCACTTACCAGCCCTGGAAGAGACAGGGCCCCAGAGTGCGGGTCTGTGCAAATCAGTAAAGTGAGAGGGAGCCAGAGCCAGACAAGAACGGTGCCAGATGAGAAAGGAGCAGCTGAGGCCAGGGGCACTCAGGGGCAGTGCGAGAACACCCCTGACCTTGGCTATCCCTCAGCCAGTGGCTTTCCAAGGAATGTGGTGACCCAACCCAGCCTCATGAGGGTAAAACCAGGAAGGAGGACATAACCAGCCGACACAGGGGACAAACACACCCTGGCATGGTGGTCAACACCTGAACCTATTTCATGAGGACTTGGGCTCATGGTTACAAACCTAGGCTTTGAGCTTGTTCAAATTCCGAGACAGCCAGCCGCCTCCGGCCTTTAATTTTTTTCCCAGTATGGAGGGTGGCACCTTGGGCCTCCCACATGCTAGGCAAGGACTCTATACCAGGGCATATCCCAGGCCATTTGAAAGTTTTGCTTCGTGATAGGTTCTAGCTAAGCTGCTCAGGCTGGCTTCAGACTCACAAGCCCGCCTCAGCCTCCTGAGTCCTGGGATCTCATGTGCCATAATACTTGATTCTAGTATCTGACTTTTGATCCCCTGATGGTGTTGGCTGGTTACCAGCAGTGTCTACTGGGTTGCTCATGGAAAGTAACACAAATAACAAGGACATAGCCGGACTCTCAGTTAGAAGAAGGAGAGTAAGCACCATTCTCTCCCTTCCTGGTCCCAGAGAGACAGCTCCTCTCCTCCCACGCCTGGCTTGCAAGGTCACTACGAAAGCATGCGTGTACTGTGTCCTTGGAGACTCACCTGAACAGCAGCAGCACGGCTTGGGGGAAAGTCTGAAAGTTGTTGTTCCGGTTGATCTCCGTGGTGTCGTTCAAGGCAATCTTTCCAAACACCTGACAGAAGGAAGGAGGAGGACTTCTGTGACTCACGGAAAAAAAAAAGGTTCTAATTTCCCACCATTGTTCAGGGTCTCTGGAGGGGCTGTGATGATCCTGGGGCTGATTTATCCATCTAATGGTCTCCCAGTGTGACCTGTCAGATTCCCCCCACCAATTATAATTCCCTACTGTTATGGTGTGAATCCAAGATGTCCCCCAATGTCTCATGGGCTTGGAGGTGGGGCTTTCAGAAGGTGACTGGATCATGAGGGCTCTAACCCCATCAGGGAACTCATCCATTGAAGGAGTCATGATGTGCGGGCATTGTCGGGAGGCGGTGGGAGTAAGAGGTGGAGCCCAGGGGAAGGCGTGGGTCACAGTGTGACCGTGGGATTCTATCTGCTCTCCAGCCCTTTCCCTTCCTTCTTCTGCTTCTTGACTGCCATAGTGAACAGGTTTCCCCCACCACATTCATATACCATGATGTTTCTGCCTCACCAGGGATAAGCAATGGAACCAGCAGATCATGGACTGAAACCTCTGCAACTCTGAGTTAAAATAAACCTTCCCTTCTTTAAGTTGTTTATCTTGGGTATTTTGTCAATGTAGACACATGTAAGAAGAAATGTGTCTCTCACCCTTAGGAAGGGTCCTCACAGACCAGGGTTTGGGGCTCAGAGCAGTGGATGCCAAGAACATGATCCCCCTTTTATACAGGGACACTAGGGTCTTTCTGTCTGTATGACTGTCTATCTATCTGTCTTTCTTTTTTTCTTTGTGGCATTTTAGCTCTATATGCCCCAAGCACTCTTTCCAAATCTGAGTTCTTGGATTTTGGAGTGGAGCGGGACGAGTGAAGGCTTGGACAAGATGAACCCATCTCTAAGTCAGAAAAGCCTCTTCTTTTTCCTCTGGCCCTTTAAAGCCATGCTTGTCCTAGAAACTGCTTCCTTTTGTAGGTGTCAGGGTACCTGGGGGTCCTTCTGCAATGAGCAAGTAGGGAAATTTACTCAAGAGGACACTGAGGAAAAGCTCCTATGCAGGGCCAGGGCGGCGTGCTGCCAGTCTGGCCTTCGGGAGCTCAGCGAGAGAACAGAAGAAGCTGAAGTCTGGTTTCCAGCGGGACAGGTCCAGTGGGCACCTGGAAGTGCAGGTTCCAGGACCCCGCTGCGTGTTCCTGGAGCACAGCACCCTCCCTCTGCCCTGCCTTCCCCGCTCTGTCACTTGCTCCTTCTGAATGACACTGGGTTTGGGTGACTCTCAGGCCCAAGAGCTGTGGACAAAGCAAGGATGTTAGGCAGACATGGCCTCCTGGTCTCTGCGTGGGCTGCACTTTCCCGAGGCCCACTGCTTCATTCTGGAGTGTTCTCTTTTTCTCCACCAGTTACACAGGCAGGCCTCGGGTCATGGAGAGGGAGAGAAGTCCTTGAGCCTCATCTCCTGCTGTTCATGGCCATTCGCCCAGTTGCCTAAGGCTATGCATTTGGGGAAGTTTCTGTGATCCTGAGGAACAGTCAGGAAGAGAGTGAGAAGAGAGAGAGCAGGGTGGCAAGGAATGTGGTGCTGGGAGCTGAGGAGAGAGGAAATAGGAGGCAAGGGAGCTGTGTGTGTGTGTGTGTGTGTGTGTGTGTGCTTACCTGCATACCAATCACGGCATAGATGAAGAACAGCATTACTATCAGAAGGGCCACGTAGGGCAAGGCCTAGAAGGAAGCACAGTGGGCACTGTGAGACCCAGAGGGGCAGCTGGCCACATTCTTTTCAAGAAAGCTATGTGTCCCTGGCTCTACAGCCATCAGCTGCTGGCTGGCCTTGGTGGTCGGGGCATTTTCAAGAGCTCCCCAGTGGTGCAGATTGCCTGAAGGAAGCTTGAGAAATGGGTGCTCGTCTCTTTAGCTTTTCATCTATATTTTGTAGGGATGGGAATGGAACTCAGGCCCTGAACATGCGAGACAAGTGCTCTACCACTGAGTGACAGCCAGCTTTTAAAAGAGGGCTGCAGATTTTTTTTTGGTTGGTACCAAGGATCGAACTCATAACCCTATGCTTGCCAGGCATGCACTTATGCCACTAAATCCCCAGCTTTAGTAAGAACAGTCAAGAGGGAGCAGAACCCCTCCTCCGATGCACATATCTGCACAGGGAGGAGGCCGGGGAGAACATACGCTAAGCTGCTCGGAGTCACCGGGGTGGAGTGGGGCAGAGATGGATCATACTTCACGTGGCTTACCTTTGTTCTGCTAGTTGAATGGAGAAGGTATTACAGTGTCACAAGAACATTTAAGGAGAAGTGTAAAAGGCAACGGGCTCAAATTCTGTCTCCGCACTTTCTAGCTGCGGGAGTTTGGTAACCTCTTGGAGTCTCAGTTTCCTCCCAAACATGGGGACAGTAACAATGAGCTCTTGGGTTTCCCGGCTTGGGTTTCAATGGCTTAAGGTTTATAAAGTACTGAGTGCAATAGCTCAGATGTATGTTTCCATACATTTTGTTGATTCTTATATTATCTGTCTAGCAGCTCAGATGACTTAGTTTTCCGGAGCCATGGCCTAGAGAGCTGGGCTTTACCCCAGGAGTGCTCTATGCCACCAGATGGCACTCTAAGACCGTGTGACAGTCTCCTGGTGGTGATGTACTCAAATCTCCACGCTCATCCTGGTTTTCTGTCTTTGGGGCTCCGTGGAGAGCCGGGGGATTGGAGACCTGCAGCCCACTGGAAAGTGGGGGTCAGCCTGGCCTGGTCGAAGGAGCATGGGACTGAGGATGCAGCCTGACTGCTGGTCTCTAGAGACTTGTGGTGGCCCTGTTTGGAAGTTGTCCTTTGGGGTAGATTTCCAAGCAGGGCAAGCATTTCCAACCAGGGCAAGCCCTGGAGCACCTGTCCTGTGGCTGTAACCACAGCTGCTGTGGGCACGCTGGGTCCTGAGACTAACTCCGCTCCCTGATAGAGGTCTGGTCCCACCTCGGCAGGGAACATGGAGGCCACTGTTCAGCGCGGCCTCTGTCCTGGGAGATCTGGAGTGGTGTGTGCATAGGAGGAGAGAAGCCTGCCTCTGGGCCAGGTTTGCAGGACATACTTGGGGATTTCTATGGTCATCTCTGAGGAATCCAACAGCTTTCCTTCTCTTCACCTCACACTTACATAACACTCCTCAGAACTGGGAATTCTGTATTTACAGATGAAAAGCTATGCAAGAGATAAAGGAATTAATCACATAGTTAAGCCATCCTGGGCTCTACGAGGGGACCCTGTCCTGGAGTGCAGGGACACCAGAGTCCCCAGAGTTGGGCCAGGTACAAAATCAGGTAGGGTGAGTAGACTTGGCTAAAACACCTGCTGTGAAAGTCCAAAAATGCTCGAGCTGGGGGGGGGGGGTCTGGAGAGCTTAGCAGATGATCCAGGCCCATGCTTCCCAGCTTGCTCCATCCCACAAACCCCTTTGCTGAGGACATCACTGAGAGGAGAAAGCAAAACTGTTTCAGCTTGCCCGCGCCTCCTTCCTCTCTGAGCCCTGCTTCTGGGGAAGTGAGGGGCTCCAGGTGCCACCTTTGAAACCCCAGGTCTAGTTTTATCCTCTTATTTCAGAAACAAGGAAAGCTGCCATACAGCTACTGAGGCAAAGAGAAAAAGCCAGTCAGGCCTTGAAATCCTGGAGCTTGGTCTCCCATGACAGCCCCCATCTGGGCAGCCCGAGGGACAGCAGCATGGTGAGTCCTGGGTCACCCAGCAGGTGGCTTCCTGCCAGCTACCTGAAAGGACTTGATGAAGGTCCACAGCAGTGTCCGGATGCCCTCCCCGCGGCTCAGCAGCTTGACCAGACGCATGACCCGGAAGAGGCGGAAGAAGGTGATGGAGATGCGGGAGTTTTCTTCTGCGTTCTGGAAGCCATCGGCAACAGAAGGTGCAGTTAACACAGCAAGAGCGGGGCGGGCAGCAGGGACAGGGTGTGCTGAGAGACACAGCTTGGCTGAGGGGAGGCTGCCAGGCTGAGGTCAGCTGCACTAGATGCTTTCCTTCGGGCCCTGCTTAGTGGGGCCGGGTGGGAGGTCAGTGTCCACCCTTTCTGGGCTGACAGCCCAGCCATGAGCCAGGTAGTGCCCGAGCCCAGGCCCTGTAGCCCTGTTTTCCTGTACTGCTTGCTTCTGTTCACTTCTAGTTCTTGATGCTCTGGATAGAGCCACAAAAATTCACTAGGGATGTGTCACTGCAGCCTGCTGCAGTCCCTCGGAAGCAGCACACTTACTCTCCTATCTGGCTTGGCTGAGGCTCCTGAACCCTCAGTGGGACCCGGATCTCTGCAAAGATGTGGTTGGTGCCATGACTGCACTGGGGGCTTGGGGCAGGTTGTACTGACCCCTGCAGGGGCCTCCTGCTGTGGTTGCTGAGGACTTCAGGATTTGAGTCACCTCTGATTTCCCACAGCCTTTGCTTGAGTGCCACAGGGGAGGGCTGGGGAATAGGGTGTTGCTTCACGCTAGGGGAGCATCCAGGTTGCAGCCTTGTCCTTCCTTGAAGGCTCTGAGGCTTTTCTATCCCCTTCTGTCCTGGGGCCACCAGGAGGCTCCAACCCTCTCCGGGTGTGCAGACCCTGGAAGAGTCAGGGAGCATGGGACAGGGGAGTCAGGGGAGGCATCTCTTGTGGTGAGCCCTAGAAAATTCTATGTCCCAGCGTGTGGGACAATGGGTCCTGCTTACATGGATCATCTCCTTGCTTGGAGTCCTGGAGAGAAGGGGAAGGAAGTGGATGGTGTCAAGGGCCCAGCAGGCTTAAGCGGGATTATGCTGCTTGGGCTACTGGAGGGCTACTGGAGGGCTGCTGGCTGGCTGAAGGCTCAGCCCAGCCAGCAGAGAAAGCACTGATTCCTCCGGGGCCAGGATGAGCTGGCTGTTAGCTTCTACCTCCTGGCCTAGTAGCAAGAACTAGAGCTCCCCTCTTGCTCACGTGGGTGACCACTGCATTGCAGAGCCAGAGAGCTGGTGGGTACAAGGCAGACCCTGCCCCAGATCTAGTGCAGCTCACCCAGCCCTGCTAGCACCAGGAGAGAATGGACCCTTGGGTTCCTGTTACTGTTCCCATCCACACCCCTCAAAAAGTTGGGGCCTCTGGATTGAATGGGGGCCCACTTCAGCCCTCTCTGCTTCACTTTGTCTCTTGATTTCTTTGACATTGTTTCCAGATCAGGCCTTCGGCCAATACCCGTGCCTCTGCACCCTTCCAACAGCCCACTCACACACTGCGGGGCTCATAGCTTCAGGGGCCACTCACCTGACACCTACTCAGAACAGTGCCAGCAGGATAACTCAGGGGTAGAGTTCATAGATTAGCAAGCCCAGCCTCCACCTGGGAGGGTAGCTCAGAAACAAAGTGAGAGTATTAAACCTGTTTCTTCAAACCCTGGGTCAGATACCAGTGGAAGTATTTCTTATGTTTCAGATTGGAGCTGTGTCCATTCCTCCCAGAGCTGCTGTGTTCCTTCAAAGGAGGGAACAGACAGACCTCTTGGTGTTGGTGGCCTAGGGAGGGAGCCACAGTCACTAACCTTTATTCTGTCCTTGTTCCCTTGAAGTCTTTGATGCCCTGACCCTCTGTATTTCTGTCAATTGTGTGTCTATTTGAGAGTCTACTTTCTCTCCAAAGGAGCAGCCCAGTTCTCCCAGAGCAGGCAGAGGAGGCTCAGGGTTTATAACCAGGCTGCTGACTCCATCATGTTCAGGAGAGGAGACAAGAGAAGAATGAGCTTAAGTGTGGCCTTTGGCTGCGGGCACCAAGAGTTTGAGAAGTTGGTACCCGTGGGACATCTGGAAGCACCCATGGACCTACAAATGAAGCTGCAGTGTGAACTCTAGTCTGCCTTGTGTCAGGGCCTTTCCAGTTTCCTGGTCCTGCTCTAGAAGGAGGAGAACACTCCCATCAGGGTCAGGACAGTTTCTTCTCACAATCCGAGTGGCAGTGCAGTGAGAGAGGGCAGGGGCAGTCCCTCTGACGTGTGGTAGGACAAACACAGCCAGCCTTTGACCAAGTGGGGATAGGCTGTGCTTGGGAGTCACCTCCTATCTATCCATCCTTTGCCCCAGTCTTTAAGATTTGGGGAGCTCCAGGATCAACCCACTGGTCTTTCTAAGAACTCACAGTTGGCCCGGTTTGAAGAGTATGACAGCAGCTGTTTCAAGGAGACTTCAAGGTTATACTGCATCTCTACTACTTCCCAAAGGGGATCCTGGACTCCAACATGAGAAATGGGTCCATTAATTAAGCTTGTTTTGCTCTCCTGCCTGCTGCAGAGAAGTGGGTACCAATTCAGAAATCTGGAAATAGGAAAGGATCATAGGGGTGGATGGAGAGAAATTTACCTGCCCTCTCAGTCACAAGTCCCAGCTGACATCTTTTACAGCTGCCCCACGAGGGAGGTTAGTATCATGAACACTGCTTAGCAGGAAGGCATCATCTGCCTTTCTGACTTCTGGCTGGGTCATCTCTCGCTCTTTTCCCTGGAAGTCCTTATCTCTACTGGTTTCCCAGGTTAGATTTAGCCCAGGAGACGTTAGCTAGTGAGTCCTTAGGATGTCTAACAGGAAATGGCCCTTGGGTCCAGTTCTCTCCCAGTGGCTCATCAGACAGTCAAGATCAGGGTGAACAACCCCAAAGGAAGCTCAGGGAGGCACAAGAGCACCACTACACACAGGTCTTCACAGCTCACACGGCAAGGGCAGGCAAGGCACACGATGGACACGTGGTCACATGCAAAGGAGCCAGGCTGGGCTCCCATGAGACCCTGGAGGTTGGGTGGGTAAAAGTGGGGGTGTTAGAGGGGTCACAGAAGCTGGGAGCATGGTTAGGAGGGTCAGTCTTACCATAGAGGGAGAGCATTGGGTATGTTCAGCTGGCTTTAAAGAAAGGCAGACAGAGATAAGCTGTAATGAGTCTCCAACGAAGAAGCCCGGTATTCTAGGTCTAACACAGGACACAGTGGAAGGAGGGGGTACAAGGAAACAAGTGAAAGGAGTACAAAAGTGTGGATCTGGCAGGTTCTGGGACACCACCATGCATGGGCCTGTGTGCCACTCGGCTTGGGAATTCTAACAGGAATCCACAAGGCATCTGTTTACCCACGGCTGTCTCTGGCTGTGAAATCAGTCACTCACACCCATTCTGGGTAAGATTACAGAGTGTGGATTCTATGGGTGGAGGTTTGTCTTCAGCTAGCCTTGGTTTCTAAGATACCACCGAGGGTCTGTACTTTCTAAACTATCACTTTGTCCTGCAGCGCTGGTTGAAGGACAAGACCTTCCAGCTGCTTATCCTGGCCTATTTAAGGAAAAGAGCCCCAGGGGGAAACTCCTGGCCTAGGAGAAGGCTATGATAAAGGGGGATCTAAGGGTGGTCCTCAGCCTGTCGCCAGCAGGGGCTGTTTCCCAAAGCTCAGGTGGGACACGGCTTTGCATAGCTTCCGGTCCACAGGTGTGCAGAGCCGTGCCAGATGCATGAAATAAACAACTGCTTTTTTACCTTGAAAGCCCTGCACGCAATTTAGGATCCTACTAACACCGCTAAGAAGCTGTTTTCTTTGTGTGACTGTGAACTCACTTTGGGCAGGAGCTCAGGTGAGTTAGGCCCATCCTCTCCCGGGCTCCCCGTGCCTGTCCCTGGGAAGATGCCCTGCTTTTGGGACTGCAGCACACAGAGCTCAGCCCGCCTGACCCTGACCCCTGGCACTCTTAACTCTTTTCACAAGCTGTCACTTTGCTTGTGCTCTCCACTTTCAGATGGCTGTATTGTAGTTCTGTTTTAAGGTGCCCACAAGGAAAGCATGTAATGGAATTCCGGGATGAAAATGTGTACAACTTGGCATTTGCATCCAGCCTGAAACCACTTCTTTGCTCACAGGCTTTTCAGCAAATTCTTTTTAAACAAAATTCCTTTAGAAAGTTGGATGTTTTCTTTTGAGGAGTGGTGGAGATTCAGGGTGAGGTGAGGGAAGACAAGAAAAGGGACACTTTTCTAGTCATTTACAGGACACATTTTAGATTCCAGTTTCTGCTTCATGAGGATTACCAGCTGCCAGGTAAACCCACATGCTTGGAGGGGATGGGGAGGCTTTGGCGAGGGGCTGATACTGAACATAGAAAAACACACACACACATACACACACACACACACACACACACACACACACTCACGGGAAGTTTCTTCTCAAAGCATCCGAACCCCTTTTTTTTGACATGAGACAGTTGCCCATGAGGGTCACTTTCTTGCCCTCCAGGTTGGTCCAGGCCTTGTGCATATGTTCACGAACCCAAGTTCTGTGTGTCTGGGAATCTGCTGAGGCTGGAGATAGGAGGGCCAGAGGCAAGTAACCTGCACTACATATAAAGCCAGAGAACAGGCTGAGTTTCTAGGGTACCTGCTGGGTGATTTTCTGTTAGCTCCACTCCAAAAGTTACCAGAGCTGCCAATTGTATCTAAGAATCCTGTGCAAATGCAGGAAGGTCACCTGAACAGGACCAAACAGAGACAGCTCAGAGAACTCACTGATTCTTGGCCCACCCACATCCACCTCTAGCCATTACACAAAAACAAACTATTTTACCTCTTAACCATTCAGAATCCTTCTTTGGGGTGTCGAGACATTTGTCTTAGTTATCTTTTCTCTTGATGTTTTAATAGGTCCCATCAAAATTTCATCTATTTAGATCATTTACATTATTTTTAAAACATCATTTATATCTTTTTTAAACTTCAGTACTTAGTTTTAGGTCTAATCTTGTTTCTATTTTATTATTTCAAATAATATCTAGGGCCAGGGATTTAGCTCAGTGGTATAAGCACCTGCCTGGCAAGTGCAAGGTCATGAGTTCAATCCCCGGCACCAAAAACAAAACAACCCAGAAAATCAAATAATATCTAGCACTCTGACAATCCTTATGATGAGTCTCTAGGGGATCTGTGCTGAGTTCCCAGCCCAGTAATGACAACTTGCCAAAGCACCTTGCAGGAAGAGTCCAGACTCACATGTTCACTTTTTCTGGAGCCTCACAAACCATGCTGTTCAGGGCACACTTCCGACTCAACAGGAGCAGGGCTGCCTTTAACATCTCACATAAACTGCTCACAAGACCTCTGGTCTCAAAAATTAACCACCCTAATGACACCTGAAAGCACTCACTGAGATTGCAGCCTGGTGGGATATTGCCTAGGTGACCCCTCAAGGCCAGGTGAGTCTTTGCTGCCCTGCTCAGCTGCAAGTGGGATCCCTTGGGGAGCTGGGAAGCTGGCCCTCTGCTTGGACCCTTGGAGTCCAGCACTGAGCACCTCTGGCCCAGACACAGGTTTGCACAGTTTTTCCTCTGCTGTGAGTGCCGAGCTGAAGGTCTGCTTAGATCCACACTTGAATTCCTCTACCACCTGAAACACTGCAGCATCAGTGTCTAGCCCTCTCTCAGCTGTCCTCCTGGTTCCTCTGGATGGGAAGTTTATAGTTTCTCCACCCATGCTCTTCCTGAGAAAGAAACCGAAAGTGAACTCCTGGAGACCTGCCCTGGATGCCTGCAGACCACTGCCACCTCCCCCTTCAGTGCGATCCAGAGACCGCTTTCCTAACCCCAGCACTGTCTCCATTAATGGTTGGCACAGCCTAAGTTTTTCAGCAACCAATTCTTTCCGCTTTGTTTTATAAGAATCTGGTAATTTCCAAGGATTTCAAGATATTGGGGGCAATTAACTCAAATTTGTTCACGCAATTAGTATAAATGGAATTAAGTTATTCTTCCAAATCTCAGGCAGAGGTGGACTGGTGCTTCCAGGCTAAGGGCAAGTAGAAAGCCAAAGACAATGGCTGTGCTTCAGAGCACTTCATGCTGGTGCTGGCAGTGGTGACAGGAATGGAACTGGATTCCTAACAGGAGATCTTATCTGGAATGAAGAGCGTAGTCCAGTCAGAAATAGCTCCTCAGAGGATAGTATCTTTGTCGCTGCAATTACTTGCTATTCCTTTTCAGGGGGGCAGGAGACTATATCAAGGGAGCTGAGGGATGGGCCTCGGGGAATATCATCGTCAAGAGAGAGGGGTGCACCTAGGTGGGAGACAGTGGGATTGTTTCCAGTTGTCATATTTACACTATCTCTCTGGAGAATTAAAAAGTCATTGATATTGAGTTTAAAACAGGCAGATGACTCCCAGAGACCCTTCAGGGGAGCTGGCTCTTGGCGGCAGGAACCCGAGGCTGCACTTCTCTCTGAAGCAGGAGTCAGAGCAATGTGGTGGGGTTCTGGGCATCTTCGCTGGCTGTGCAGTCATGGTTACTCTTGCTATTGTTTTTCTTTCCTTCTTAAATCTTAAATCTTTTGTCAAGAATTTAGCAGGAGAATCTGGCATAAATTCCACTCCCAGCCACTGGAAGATCTGGATCCTGCTGCCACCAAACTCTGCTTCTCTGCTTTTACTGTTGGCAGCCGATGCTGGTCTGATTTGCAAGACAGGAAAGTTGGTCCCAGGCCCTCAAGTGGGGCCTTCAGGCTGCGGAGGGATTGTGAGGCACTAGACAGGGCAACACTGGAAGACATTTTAAGGAGGTTAAAGCCAAACATTTTAAGTTGTCCCGCTTATAAAGTTCCATAAAGAGGTTACTTGCTAAGTGTCTCGGTTGATATGTGTCGACTTGAGAAGCTTACAAGTGTACCTTGCAGACCACTCAGCAGGGAGGCAGAGTCCTCACTTTGTAAACATCCTGATCCTGGGTGAGAGGAGGGCCCCGAGATGGTGTAAGTGCTACCTGAGGGGGAGGCATATCCTGCTTACAAGATAAGGGAGGAAAACAGCCCCCTTTGCTGTCTTGTTGTGTTACCTCTGTGCCACGCCACCCTGCCTTGGAGCCAGCTGATTATGGACTAAAACCTCCGCAAACCATGAGCTAAGTAAACCTTTTCTTCCTTCATTTTGGGTGTCAGGTATTTTGTCTCAGCGATGAGAGAAAAGTAACCAGGACACTAAGAATGCTGCAAAGTTTACCCAAGCACAAGTCAGCTGGGATAGACAGAAGCAGAGGAGAAACATCAGTGATATTCAGATTGAGAGTGAACGGGGGGACACACGGGTAGCCGAGAGCAGTCTGTAAGCAGAGCCCCAGTTCTAGCTCAGGAGAGTGGTGTGACTGAAGTGGATCTTTGCCAGCCGGAGAGGCCAAGGCAAAGGGCTGGGGTGGGAAAGCGCAGGGAACAAGGTGCGGCTGAGTCTGAAGGTGGAAGAGCGAGGAGGAGACAGGACACCTCCTGCCACTGCTGCAGCCAGTGTGCTGAAATCCCTTGCTTCTGTTTGCTTCTCTGCATGCAAGTTCAGCAGGAGGGGCAGCTGTCTTGTATGTAGTCACTGGCACGCAATTGCCACATCCCTTCATCATTACCCTCAAAAGGGTCTTTGGCCACAGGCAGAGAGTGCAGGGGCTGGGCTGCTGCTTCCTGGCTGTCCCTTCTTCTCCCTGTCATCTTGTGCTAAGTGGCGGAAGGTGGCCAGGTGTAAGTTGCTTGTGTGATGAGCTGCACAGCAGCCAGTTCAGGTGACTAGCGGTGGCTTAAGCCTCAGGATTCACTCTGTCATTCATGTGCAACTTGTGGCCCCTGCTGGTGCTGTTCTCTGCCAGAAACACACACTGCACAAGACCAGTTACAAAACAGCCAGCATGGTTTCATGTTCCTCTGCGCAGGGCAGCTGGTATCCAGTCATCCAGACACACAAACAGTCAAGCCCATGAAGAATCAGTGAAGGCCATCAGCTTGTTGGCAGTGTTAACAGCACCAAGACCTGCACAGAATTCCGAGATGGAAAGAGGGAGTGGGAGAGGGAGAGAGGGAGGACGAGAGGACAGAAGGGAAGGCGAGAAAGGGAGAGAAA